CGTGCTCCTTGTGGGTGTTCGGCAGAGCAAATGCAGACAATGGGCGATCACGATGAGACATGCCCCGCGATCCGCCCGTCCGTCGCATGAATCGTCGCAGATTGCCCACCCCATCCACTTTAACCCCTCCTGAAACACCACATGAAGCCAGTCACAGCTGCGTATCGGCGTGCCGCATAGAGTTGTGTGAGCTGGGTGTTCGATGTTCCGTGGGCTGGCACAACGGCAGATGGGCGCATTTTGCATTGTGCCGCAACGTGGGTGTCAAGAAATAGTATGCGCGTTGCGTGGTATGGGCGAGCAGATGGTGGGTGCGCGTAATGGGACTGGGAGACGTAAGGGAAGGGGTGATGCTTACTGATACTGCTATGACTGAGGAATGAATAGATGAGAGATGATGCCTGGCTTGGTTTTACTCGGCTTGTTGGTGTTGTGAACTGGTTTCCCTTCTCCGTTTTTCGCTTCCTTTCCTTCTTTCTTACCTCGTGTCCTCAGTTCCCTCTTCTCTTCCTTTACTAGGTACATACTGTTGTTATCTTTCTTGACACTCTTTTAATAGCGAATTATACGAACGAGGCTTTCAACGCACTACGCCGCACATTATAGACGGGAACTGCGGCACGACAGCACGATACCATACGTTCGCTATACTATACGCATACGCCTCCGCCACTTCCTTTGAGGAGATCAAGGCAGGCCAGGACGAAAGCGGAAAGCTGAAAGAGTGTAGTGGGAAAAAGAAAAGAAGAGAAGAAGAGGCACAGTCACAATGGCGATCAACTGGATCCTACCCGTTCGCGCGGCACAAGCTGTACTTTCTATCGTTGTACTCGGGTTGATGGCTTATGGTACGCCTCCCACCATCCCTCTCCCTTATCCCACCCCTCCATCTCTCCACCATCTTCCCATCTCCTCCATCAAACTAACACCCTCAGTATCATCATGGTGGTCAACACACTGGCGCCAATCCTCCCCGCTGGAGATAAACTACCTCATCTTCGCGCCCTCCTGGACCATCCTCAGTCTCATCCCCCTCCTGCTCACCTCCTTACCCAAATACGCACACTTGACTGAGAAGGGCAGTGTGAAGTGGGCGTTGTTGGGGCTGGAGGGGCTGACGATGTTGTTCTGGTTTAGTGGGTTTGTGGCTCTTGCGGTGTTTTTGAGTGGGCGGATTTGCTTTGGTATGGTGAGTTTGATCTTTCTTCCTATGTGCCGTTACTCTAAGATGGGGTGTTTGGGGGCTAATATGTGGAATGAATAGGTCTGTGATGTAGCCCGCGCGAGTACGGCTATCAGTGCGGTTTCTTGGCTTGCTTGGGCTGTTACTTTTGTTTTTGGTGTTGTTGGTGTTGTTAAGGGACGGCGTGGTGGTATGGGTATGACGTTCGGTGGCAAGGCGCCGAAGAGCAAGGAGGTGGATATGCATCAGGGTGTATAGAAGTGCGTGTCACGGTGGTGGAGCAGGGGGTGATGTGTATATGACTTGGGAACTTGCGATCATCAGGTATGATTGCGGCGCGGTGGTGGCTTTTTTGGATATCCTGCTTTGCTTTGCGCATTGGTTTAGTCGTAATGCATACTTCTTTTGGAGTATAATGTCGTGTTTTGATGTGCTATGAACGGTTTTTGGGGGATTACTTCCATGTGATACTCATAATTTGAGATGACAATCTTGTAGGATTACAATAAGAACTTGGGAAGTTGTAAGTGGTTCATCGGCGATTAGTTAGCGCGATGGGATAGTTCTCGCGCTCGTCGGTAGACATCTTTACATATTTGCTGTGATGTTGCCACAATCATCCGATGAGAAAGATTGTCTTTGCATTGCGAAGCATACAATCTAGTCACAACCTCGATGATCAGCGCGGACCAAGCCAAGGCCCAGTGCTGAGTCAAAGATGCGTTCTTTTCTTCGTTGGGCCTCACGACCATGCCTTCGTCACCGGTGCGGAGAAAGCCAATATTAACATCTAAGCGATAAGAGCAGGAAAGCTCTCGGCAGCTGTGTCGCCATCTGTCACTTTGTAAGTATTCCAGATAATTCTGATGGACCCTAGATTAACAGTACTCTACATGACTGCATTAACGGCACATTTGTCATAGAAGCATGCGATGCCTTGGTTATAAGGAATTGAGGATGTCAACATCCGACCCGCGTGGTCGATGGCGAATTCTAGCCTCGTTTCGAAACGCTTGGTATGTAGCAGTGTGCCGAGGAGGAGATTTTGTGGATGCCTTATAACATGCGTTGTATGCCTGATGAAGCCATGCTGAAACGTAACAGAGACGCAAACCGCCTGGAACGGCAGCCTCGTCCGCGACGTTCGATGCGGACGGTAACAAGACACTTTTTTCTTCGATCAATGAGATGAATATCGCGCAGTAGGAATTCCATACGTCGAAATGCTGCCTTGTTGTAATTAATGGCTGTGTTGAGTGATGAGTTCACGAAGATAACTGTCAGCAACCCCTCAATAGTTCATCGGCACTGCTTGATTGGTCATAGCGCGAGCGCTAGCGTCTAACGTACCTGCGGCGGATCTGCTCCAGGATTCTGATACCTGCAACACCACGCCACTGATTTTCGTCACAGAACAAGAACTTCTGCATCTCGGCTGACACCATCTGACAGCGTTCTACTCGCGTTTCTCGGTCCTCGGCAACGCGTTTTCCACGACGATGCCAGTAAGAGCATGCTCTGTCCACCGGGGCCCGCATAGAAACAAAGCGGCCAGATGCCATCCGACTGAATATAGCAACGATGGCAGGGAACATAATTCCAATGATTGCCACAAACGGCAATGATGCCGCTCTCGACTTGTTGGCGGGGAGCTTGGCGGGGAGCTGTCAGTTCCCAAACCTTCCGCAAATCTGGATGCAGGGGCTTTTTTCAAGCTGCGCTCGAGCGCTCGCCTGATACGTGTGCGAAGCGTGTCAGCGGCCATGGCTGGATGGATCTGATGGCCTGCGAAACAAGTACATCTTCTCTCGCTGCTTCGCTGTCCAAACATTCTTCTTTCCACTTCTCCAGCTTCACGCGCGCGTAAACATTGATCGTATCCGCAGAGGTTTTCTTGAAACATCAGTCCGGAGAAGAACGACTCGTACCTCGAGAGAAAGCAATCATGCCGAAGACCGCTGTCTTCACCACCATTACGCCGTTGCCGGCGGGCATCACAAGGAAGAGTGTGCTCGACATGTACCGCGATCATCTAGCTATGATCGACTTGAACCCTTTGGTTGTTGAACGGTTCAAGTGCAGACCACCTAGCTATGCGCCAACTGACGAGTACTGGTCTATGTGGTACACTATCAAAGGTGAGCACCCTTCTACATATCCACCATGCAGCCGCTAACATGTCGTAGACAAGGTCTCATATCTACCGGGTGGCCTGGCGACAGGTTCTGTGTCCTACCACGCTTGCTTCAACGACACAGCGGAAGGTCTGAACACACACGTGTACGCGCCGCTTGGGCTCGATATCCAGGGGAAGTGGACAGTAGGAGGAAGACTGCCTGGCGAGCCAAAGCCTCCGGCCGAGCCTGGCCTCAAGACTCCAAGACACGGACTGTATATTCGGGAAGATGTCAAGATGACCTGTTCATCGCTACTGTTGAGCTTCGTCAAGAGGACATTCAAGGACTCGCACGGCAAGCTCGTGGACAAACTGGTCGAGAGAGCGCACATCCTGGAGTCAAACTTTGCGAACGAGAGATTGCAAGCACTTCGGAATGTTGCGCCTGGCGAGCGAATGGGACACGGTGACATCTTCATCGCACCACCACCAGACTACGACTACCAGCCTTCCCCCAGATACCTGCAGGTCCCCTCCCCTCGCTTCGTATCACATACGCGAAGCCAAAGCGACCCGGTACTCTCTCCTGGCTTTTCTTCTTCCTCGACGCTCAATGGTTCCAACGACAACTCGCCTAACCCAAAAGACCGCCCGATGTCCTTCACCTTCGTACGTGAAGAGAGGGAGGTAGCTTCCTCTGCACCCGAGCAAGGTTCCTTCCTACTACCAGCGACAACATACGATGGCGGCTTTTCACAAGTGCGCGAGCGATCGCAATCTTTGTTCCCTGGTAATGCCCCGGACGAAGATCTCGAGCGCATCTACTCGGAGCGCATGATCTCTCTGGCACCACTGAGCCCGACCCAATCCCCAAAAGACTGGACACCTGACTACGCACCGAGGGTCTCATACACACCCAACGAGCGACCCATTTCCTTCACATTTCCCTTCGACCCAAAGCATCCCTTTGACCGCAAGTCGACATCCGAGACGTCGCAATCGGACCAACAAAACCTTCTCGACGACATCGACGACGCGATTGACGAATTCATGTACACTTTACCCGCAACCACGTACAAGACGCTACCAGCGACTACGTACGACCCCAAGCCGGCTGCTGAACCCACACTCTCCAGCGCAACATACAACCCAGAGCCAACGCTTTCGAACGCTACCTACAAGCCTGAGCCGATACTGTCGAGTACGACCTACGACCCGAGGCATGCGCGGAAAGACTCCGTCATGCCATCGCAGTCTTACGCCGACGAACCACCGCCAGTGCCGCTCAAGGACGACAAGTACAGGAAGGGTAGCATTAGGGGATAGCACGGTATGACGCAGCTGGTGATGCTCTGATGACTTTTTCTGTAACAACATTTCTTTGCTATCTCGATGTTTTTCGATTTGGGAAAAAGCGGGTTTGGTGTTTGAGCGTTTGGATCTTTTATATATACCCTCTTGTATCAGGCTACCGGATAGGCTGGATGGAGTACCTCGTACCTTGGCTTTTTGTACAACAATGGATTATGACGGCGGAAACGCTACGATACTACACTGCTCTTATAAGAATCGAGTTGATGTGAACAACCAGCTTAAGCCACACGAACACTGACTTAATCTTGTATATTATTGTAACTATGACAGGTTCGAAAGTGCGCAGGAGCTGATAATTCAAAGACGCCGCTATCCCGACTAAGACACTCATGATTTGCATCCACATTCCAGAGACTTGTACCCAATCTGCACCTGAAGTCCCGCAAACAACATTTGAATGAAGCTCATGGTGACACCCAGGGTACCGAAGATCAAGACGCCCCAGAATGTCAACCACTTTGGCTTATCTCTGCGATCGATCCAAAGTGTCCACATTTGGTTGGGCTGGCGACGTAGCATGTACTCCTGAATCTGTTCTAGCCGGGGGCGAAGGATAGGAAACATACGCCGTTTGTTGAAGGAAAACGTGGTTGGCGTCGCTCTGGTGAGCCATCGTTCCCGGCTGAAGAGACTAGCTAGTGGCGTTTTCGCATCAGCGGAGCTCTCTTGATCGGCGCGGACTGATTCGCATAGCTCGTTTAGTGTGCTATCGTTCGTTCCCCAACGATAGCTCATTCGTTGTTCGCGTTTGTGGTAGACCTTACGGCTGTGGCGATCCTCGGCGAATATGAGTCGATAGGAGAGCAGAATCTCATCGAACAGTTTCTTGTGGGTGATGGAGCCAGCCCTATTAGCGCCGCTATACACGCCTTCTGAGAGCCTGTAGACATCAGCATTCTGAGTTTGCTAGAGTTCTCAATATGTACTAACTTGGCTACAAGAGAGTTCGGCCCTAGCTGTACTTTGCACAGTGAAGGCGTTCGATACAGCTGTAGTTCCTTAGAAAGTCGATCGAATGATAGGTGCGAGATCATGTCATCGACCCATACGATCTTCAGGCCGCCGAGTCGGTGGAGGGTTGCGGCGTTGACGTGTTCGACGACGAACTCCTCGGCGGCTAGAGCATCTTCCAGTTTTGTCCTTTGAGCGGCATCGTCATTGTCCGTACTACTGTCATATGTATCCGACAGTCTCCCCAGTAGGAAGGGACCAGTCAATAATTCCAGCAACTCTGAAAAAGGCCTCTCGCAACTTTCGAGGGGTAGGCTCGACACGCTGGTGGCTAATGCATTGCTGCGTATCCTCAATTCCTCTTGCGAAGACTGGTTCGGCGCTGTGGCACGGTACAATCCGCTTGTCCAACCCAAAGCAGCGAATATGAGGTGTCTTGCCTGATTGCGTTGTTCTTGCTTATCTTCATCGACATGTATGATGTTGTGATCAGATGACAGATGATCGATCGCGTCGTCGATGGAGAACTCGGTCTCGTCTTTAGTGTACTCTACGAGCCTCACTAGTAAATCGAACATGCCGTTCACAAGTGCTGCCTCGGTCGGTGGGTTTGGGCCACACAAAGCGATTGTTACCCACGCCAAGTCGTAATCTCTCATACACTGCCGTACAGACGAGATGTAAGATTGGTACATTGGTTTGGAAATGTCGTTGGCGCTGAGAGGGTCACCAGAGACTGCTTTCAGAAGCTGCAAGCAGCTTTGCAGAGATGGGCGGAGCACTTGTGTGATGTGAGCAGCGATCGAGGTGCCTTCAATTGTTTGCTTACTCACAATTGTTTTCCATCATGCTACTGTTGTCGCGCGTTGGTAGAGCCAACTGAACGTAGCTTGCGTGGGGCTAGAGTAAGGGCGGCCCTTTGCACTGGGACCACGCTTTGAACATCATCTCATGGCAGACGGGCCGGACCGGGGCCATTGGAAGATAGCGCGCCTGTGCTACCAACGCATGTACGTAGACGACGTCAGCATGCACAAGGCAGACTCTCATGGAAGCGACCAAGCGGGGTACGTGGCGCGCATCCCTGGAAGGCTTCATGTTGCAGGCCCACGCTAGTAGCCGCGGGCTCCTCCACCGATAAGCTCACCGGCGCACCCTCTCGGTCCACTCTCTTCGCCCGACTTCCACTACTACTTCCAGAAAAGTCCCTTTGCGCTTTACTTTGTCTCAACCATTTTCAACATGAAACTCGATTTGTTGAAGGTCACGGCGGGTGAGCTGCAGCGCCTACTGGGCGAGGGGCGGCTCACCAGCCTTGATCTTGTACGACAATACCACAGTCATATTCTCGAACACAATGACAGACTCAGGGCTATGATATCAATCTCCCCGCTTCCACATCTAGAGAAGATCGCCTCCAAACTGGATGATGAGAGACATCAAGGGGCTGTTCGGAGTGCGCTACACGGCATACCGTTCATCATTAAGGTGAGCATGAAGCAAAGTCCTCTTGACATGACTGACTGTATTGAAAGGATGCTATGGACACGTCAAGTGAGTTTCAGTTAGAATCCACGAATGGTGGTTGGGCGTTCGTAGACTCTCACCCTCGAGAAACCGGCATGATCATCAAGATGGCAGTGGACGCTGGGCTCATTTTAATGGGAAAAGCGAATCTCTCCGTACGTTTGAGCTTTTTGTACTAAAGCTCTAAGCTAACTCTGATAGCAATTCGGGAACTGGAAGTGAGCAACGAGTGAAGACTCCAAACAACAGTGACTAATCTCTCTAGGGCGTCCGGAATGAGTGGAGGTTGGTCTGCACGTGGAGGTCAGACCCAGTCCGCATATGTGCGCGGAGGTGTAGTTGACGATGGTATCTACGGCCACTCGGTAAAGCTTCTCCGCGGTTGACGCGTATCATCATGCTCACTAATCTACAGAACCCATCTGGATCGTCAACAGGGTCTGCTGTAGCCGTTAGTGCAGGCTTTGCGCCTGTATCCATCGGTGCTGACTTCAATGGGTCTCTCACTAATCCAGCTATTCGTGCTGCCTTGTACACTATCCGTACCACGCCTGGTATCGTGTCGGAACACCGAGGGTTTCCGTTCTCTAAGAACCGGGACAGTCTCGGCCCCATGGCGAAGACCACCGATGATCTCGTCAGTTTACTCAATGTCATCGTAGATCTTTCACATCCGGAAGTGCCTGACCAAGGTTACAATACCTCCGCTTCTCGCGACTGGAAAGATATCTCTTTCGCTACCATGGACCCACACCACTGGCATCTACCAGAAGCCGTTCAGAAGCCGCAACCTGGAGCGTTGGATCAAATCGTACGTGCACTTCCAATTAAACAGAACCATGACTTACTCAGCGAGCAGATACGGGAGACAATCGCGGCCTACAAGAAAATTGAAAGCCTGGCCAAGCGCGTGGTCGGCCCAGTCAGCCTGATCTCAGACGAGAAATTGGATGAGAGTTTGAATGACGTCTTGGCCACAATCAGTGAGCTCACCGACACTAAGGTGCAAGATGCACACTGACACATGCCAGAGAACGACTTTTCCAGCCTCTTTGAAGACTACACAAACGGCCTGGATTCACCCAAAGTCAAGACCTTGAAGGAGCTGATCGATTTCAACGAACAACATCGCGAGCTCGAATTACCAGAGTGTAAGACAATTTACCAATGCCTCCCCCATCTCCTGTTCATTACTGAAGCCAACGATCGTTAGACTCTCCGAGACAAGACAAGCTCTACCAAAGTCTGGAAGAGGCGAATTCGCTTACGGACGCAGAGTATGACCGTCTTGATGTGAAGGCGACCGCCTCGGCTGCTGATGATGCGATTGACAAGATGCTTCGCGAGCACAATGTCGACGTCATCATAGGTCCGGCGGATAGCCGCCTACCTGACGTTCTTGCCGTCGCCAGTAAGTACTGCTATCTATGTTCACGGGCGTTTCTCACCACGTCTACAGAGTATCCCTCGATGACTCTTCCGCTTGGATATCTTGATTGGAACGGGCGGCCATTCGGATTACTGGTCATTGGCTCCAAGTACCAAGAAAGCCTCCTCCTGGACGTTGCTCGCTTATGGGAAGCAACATTCCCACCGAGAAAGACGCCGGACTTGGGCTCTGGTGGCGAAACTTCGAGTGCCGTTTTGTGAGTGGCACGTGTCGCTGCCACACTGGGCCCAGATGGCGATGAAAAAGTATCGCTCTATCCGCACGCGAGCAGCTCCGAAATTACACACTCGTTTGATTCGCAGGATCATTAAGCGAGAACATATGAAGTGATGTGTCAAAAGTCTCGGCGCGTGAATCCTACGTAGGTAGCATTGCATCTCTGTGGCGGCGTTGCAGTACGGACTGAGATACCCCAAATGATAGGGCACGTCAGCGACCGCCAATGCATGTGAGTTGTATCTGCACCACATCAACATGGCCAAGGCGTTGCGGTCTTTACCCCTCACTTGAGGCTCTGTTGTGGCCAATGATCTACTCAGCCTTGTGGGTGTTGCCCCAAGTTTCGCCGGAAATGGAATGCTTACATGTCCACGCGCCCTACTCTATTTATCACTCAACAGCCGATGCATCAACGCAGACACATCCGATGCCGATCAAATTTACACTATCTTGGGCTTGCATTAATCTCTTATCTATGCAGGCTGCTGCCCGCGAGGCACACACACTCAACGCAGAGATGCACGAGAGACCTTGCCTGTCATGCTGCATGCATTTCTGCGTGCTGCTAGCTTCATCTCCGATCTCCGTATCTTCAGCCGTTGCATGTGACGATTATACCCGGATGCTGACCGTCTATAAGTTGGCATGATGTCTGTAGCAAGAGTGCAAGCCATAATTACCAGACTTCAATTCATATAACATCCAACGAACCAACCAACATGGATCCCCTCCTTAACACGGCCTACCCCGAATTGAGCCCCCAACCGAAGCCGGTGAGGGAATACCCGCAAAGCCCCAATCTGACGCAGCCCTGGAAGGACATTTTCCAGCCCTCCTCGCACTGGTTCGGTAACGGAGACAAGCAAGAGGTGCGCATCAACCCCATGGGCCCACCTGCCAACCTGAGCAGCACTGGTTAAATCCAAGGTATGATACAAAAGATGCAATCGAGTTCATGCGCTAACGCAGATGCAAAGATCGAGGCTGTTTCAGATGGAAGGCGGTATCAGAGAGAATGCTGGTGTCTGTCGCGTGGGGATCTGGAGAAAATCGGAAAGGGGATAGTTTCACTACGTAGCTCTTTGATACTTGGTACAACTCCTCTTTATCTTGATACTACTTCATTCGCAATGACTCTCATCAAAGCGATGAATTGCAACGGTCTCTCCAACTCGAGGCTAGAGCGCGAAATGCTCTTCGAACAGCGTTAGGCTGACGATCGACATGATAGTGTATATATCTTCGACTCTCCCCTCTAGCTCATCTTCAATACTTTGTTCTTCACTACTTTGCCTGTCTCTCCAGTGCCCGACATGGATGTCATTGGCTACATCAGTTTCCTCGCAGACTCACCACTCTGGGCCAAAGAGAAACCGTTTGGATTGACGCTTCCTGCGGACTATGAGCCGCCCAAAGACGCTCGTTTGACAAACCTGCTTTTCGATGAGCGTCGTCTCAGCATCAAAGATATGCGAGCACGCATAGAGGACTTTACCGTCGACCAGTCCGGCTTTGCGTTACTGAAACAGCCTACACGCCATCTAGAGATCGACAACATGACAGTCTTCGAAGAATACAAGAAGGAAACCGAGGAAATTCTGACGCGGTTGTTGCAGCCGGAGTTTATACGCTGTTGGGACGGCCGTGTAAGTGTAGCATCCATTCCACTGAATCAACCGAAGTCTGATATCCTTGTAGATTCGCAAAGCCGAGAGGCTTCTGCAGAACATACAGGTAGAAGACCTGAACGATAAGCTGACAGGTTCCAACCCTGTCAATCTCGCGCACGTCGATGAAACCGTGGCGATGGGGCATGAGTCCATCGAGCTCGTACTATCAGAAGAAGAAAAGACAAAGTACATGAATGGTGGCTACCGAGTTCGCATGATCAAGTACGTACCAATGTGTTCTAAGTATCTCCTCGATACATCGCGATCTGACTCGTCCAAGCACGTGGCGACCAATGGTGGAAGACCTGGAGCACTTTCCTCTGGCGATCCTTGACTTCCGCAGTCTCGACCCCATGCAAGACTTTGTGCCGTATGACCAAGTATCTCCAATACGACACAAGGAGCTGTACCTGATCAAACCGAAGAAGGAACACCAGTGGTACTGGGCTTCTCGACAAAAACGGTCAGAGCTGCTGGTTTTTGTCCAATACGATTCAATGGTTGGTTCACAGGCGCGCTGTAAGTACCCAAGTCGCAAAATCGCACGATGTGCTGACAGCGACAGTCTGCCCGCATGCAGGCTTCCGAAATACCTGCGCGGATCCAAACGCCGTTATGCGCAAGAGCATCGAGACCCGTTCAGTTGTCATAACCAAGATCCAACACGATGACAAGACAGGCTAGTCTGTCGCCGTCCTCCTCAGCTCGATCTGGGATGCGCCCATGATCTCTCTTACTTACAGCTCATCAACCAGTAGCGCTGTATTTCGGCGTGCGCATCGCCTGCATACGCGCCTGCGCACCGTAACGCTCACTTCATTACTCTATGTCAACTGATTACTTATTGCCTTCATCTGCGGGGGTGGCGTGCGTGCATATGCCGTGAAACATGTCTGATAAGAAGTTGACGAATTGTGGTTATCTGCTGTACACCCGGTGGGGGGTTCACCGGAATCCCTCAAGCCACAGGCTGCGATGTTGGCGGCTACACCCAGGCCTTGTCTCCGGATGTCTGTCATCCAGCCATCGCTCGGGTGTTGTTCTTTTCGTGGCGCCCTAAGTGAAAGAAGTGCGATGTTCGCAGAAGCCGTGAAGCGAATGTTCTTTCCCACCACAGAAAATGATCGTCGTTACTGTGGGTCGCGCGTGCCCGAGATGCTGCAGATACGGGCCGTAGCCCTGCACTAACGATAACAGGCGTCGCGGGGTCTACGCAGCTTCACTCTGTACGCCACGCAACCTAGGTACCTAGGCAGGATGAGCCGCAGCACGCAGGGTCAGCTCCAATACGCCTGTACGTGTGCACTTTGGCCCGTGTTGCCATTCAGTAAAATCTGCCTTACGAAGAGGCCGTGCATGTGCAACATGGCCTTCGTGGATGGTTGATACCCTACAGATTCAGGCGGCAACACACCTGGGCATGCTCTAATCTGTTACAACTTTACTGCAAACACCAAGCTAGCCACCCAGTCAACAAACAAAAACTCATCGTAGCATGCGATCTAAATCCTGCAACTAGCGCGATGTCTAGCTCTCGGCCACCTTCGTATACTACAACAGATTCGACTCTGAGGTAAGACTCTCGAACTCTGCGTGTGATTCGTCTTATTAGCCAGCGAAATGCTTACAGTAGAACAAGTGGTGACAGCTTTATCCAAACCTGGCAGAGTGCTACCGACTTCTGTGAGCAGACGCTTCCGAAACAGGACTGGGGTCGGCTAGACGCTTGCAACACATATGAGCAAGTTCGGGACAGTATCGATTCGAGAAGCTTGAAGCAAAAGCCGCCTCAAGATCTATCGTCTGTTCTTCACCGACTCAACATAGCTATCGATTTATTCGATAACACCGTATGTCAGGGAGCTTTCTCGGCCGCGAACTTGATATGGGGTCTCTTACACGTACTGTTGGATGTAAGTTATGCTTGTTACCGGTGAGACCGGTAGGTTGACAGCGACTGATCCCTACCTCAGACTGCAGCGTCCGCAGCTGAGAGGAAACCAGATCTTGGGATCCTGCCGAAGGTGACGCCTTGGCTAGAAGACATAAGCACAGACTTGAGCCTGATCAGACAGTACGACTGGCTCTTTGAAGAAGAACCCCTCTTCAGAGGTGTTCTTGTAGCCATCTATGCCGGCATAATCAGACTATGGTCTAGAGCAATTGCCAGTCTCGCACGTAACCGAGAGGGTAAGTGGTCCAATGGGCCAGCATACGGAACTTGCTAATTCGACTAGTGCCTACGATGCTGAAAGAGTTCGACGAAGCCCTCGCGGCAATCACCAAGGAGATCGAGCGCGTGAAGCATGGAGGGCGCGCAGCGCAAGATCGCCGCTTTGCCATATCGCAAAGTAATTTGTTGAACGATGACGCCAGCAACAGCGGTGCACCTCGAGCGCAGAAGTTCCAGGCGGCTGCCAATCCAAAAGTCCCACTCGACAACATACCGTATCCACGAAACCCATACTTCTCCGGTCGAACGGCGCTTCTCGAGGAGATCAAAGCCGAGTTAGTGCCACAAAACGACCCACAAGAGATCAAGTGTTGCTTGCTGAGCGGTCCCGCCGGGATTGGGAAAACACAGCTCGCATCACAATATGCGATGGGACGGAAAGACCTTGCGTTTGCCAAAGACCCGAAGGCCGAAGCGGTCATATTGTGGATCGAGTGCGAAAATGATATCCAGCTTGGAGAAAGTCTTCGAGAGACCGTGACGCAGGTCGGTCTTACGGAGGATGCTGAGGGTACAGCCGTTGAGAAATGTCGGCTGATGCTATACCGGTGGTTGAAAACAACAGGTGAGAGGCATCCAAATGCTATCAATCAGATGAAGCTAACGGTAAAAGAGCACAAATGGCTCATAGTTCTCGATAATGTCGAAGAAGAGACAGTGTTGCGCAGCATCTGGCCACATGGACTACGGGGCGCAGTACTGGTCACCTCGAAGCACCCGATGTTGGCGCCCGATCTTACGGGAGACGCGATCGAAGTTCCCAAGTTCTCGGACGAAGAAGGGTCAGCCTTCCTACAAAAGGTACTTGCTCGAAAAGAGTACTCTGGAGAGGAGCTTAAATCGGCTAAGCTCCTGTCGCAAGAGATAGGAGGACTTCCACTGGCGTTACAATTGCTGAGCAAGCAAGTCAAGTCCCAGGGTGGAAAGATAGGCCGCTTCCTCCAATCATACCAGCGCGATCCAAGACGACAACATGAACAATCGAACAAACGAGCCACGGATGTGTTCTACAACAAGTCTCTAGAAAACGCGTGGTCCACATCATTTGATCCGCTCACGAAAGATGAGAAAAGCTTGACGTTGATGGCTATTCTGTGCTGTTTGGGAGCAGAGCACATCCCGAAGGACCTCTTCGATTATGAGGATCGTGAAGCCTCCGATTTGGGGGAGTTCTCATCCGAGCTGGAGTTCTGTCATGATGCTGCGGAGTAAGATCTACCGGATAACCATGGCTTAAGAGCGCACGCTGACAATATCAGTTTTGGGGACGCTCTCGAGCCGATCATGAGCTCTTCGATGATCAGCGTTGATGCCAATGACGACTTCATGAGTATGCATCGGATGATCCAGTCTTCGTTCTGCGATTGGCATACCAAGAATGACAGTCTTCGCAAACCTTTGCTGCAAGCGGCTAAGCTACTTTTCGAGGCATTTCCAGAGCATAAGTTGGGCATCTCTTTGCGTGACCAGTATGCGAGCTGCCGTCGACTTGCTCCTCACGTCCTCGCTCTATGTGTTCGCTATCGCCAACACAAGTTTGAGGCAACGAAAGACCCCATTTTCGACGACTTCACCTCTCTCTTAGGATCATTCGCTTGGTAATTATGTCGCGTCCTATAGTATACCGTTACTCATACTCTCCAGGTATCTCATGGAGAACAACTTCTGGACGGAATGCAGGCAAGTGATAGTTGAGGCCGAAACAATCTGTAAAGACCACGAAAGCCTCGCATATGCACATATATGCAACACCGCCGCCATCATCGAGTATGAGCGAGGTCACGCTGCCGATGCATGGCCATACATGAAGAAAGCTCTCGCCATTAGAGAAGCCCAGTGGCCTAGCGACCACCACGGCCACTGCGACACCTTGACAAACCACGCGCTTCTTCTCATGACGGAAAACCTTAGTCCCGCGAAGTTTCAAGAAGCGGAGGCATTGCTACGTAAGGTGATCGAGCTCGCTAAGCCGCATCATGACGAACTTCATTCCGTTCTCCATCATCACTACACAAACCTTGGTGTTTGCTTGCTTCAACAGGGCAAGTACGATGAGGCCATGGAATGGGTCAAGAAAGGAATGGACAATGCCAACAACGAGCATTTCGAGGCCGTGTAAGTCTAGATGTCATAAGCGACCCAATGCGTCTTACTAACCAGAAAGCTCGCTTCACGATCTCGGTAACATCCATTACGGCCAAGAGAACTGGGCCGACGCTATCGACTGCTTCACGAAGGCCGAACGCACCTTCACCGCAAACAATCCTCTGGCACCTCATGCTACAGCATGCCAGTTGAAGCTTGGAAGCATCGAGATTCGACAGGGCAAATACCAGCAAGCAATGCAAGTCTTCTCGCCCCGAATTTCTTCTTCTTATCATGACTAACCTGCATTAGCGACCGCCTGAACCGAACTCTCGATCTTTGCCGTGTCGCCGAGAAGAATAAAGGCGACGCTGGAGATACCGCAAGGGTGATGCGAAAACTCGCAGAGGCGTTGGAGTTGGCAGGCGACAAGACTGGTAGGTTCAAGAGGCTCGAAGCCGAGGCCGTGCGTAGGAAGCTCCAAGGGTCGAGAGCAGAGGAGTTGGGTGATACCGAGAGATCTTACAACATGTTGGTTTTCGTGGCGTTCTGGTGATTGCGCAGCGAGGTGCTGTATTGCGAGTGTAGACTTTATCAGGTCATATATGAGCTATTAAACAAAAAGGTTTCCTCGATCATCCATTGATGTTATCCAGCGGCGCTTCATCCTTGACCATTTGCCACATCTCATCAATACGTGCGACAACGCTATCATCAAGCGGCCCCGCCTCCAGCCCCCGGATCATCTCCGCAGTCTGCGCAACGGTACTAGAAGAGAACACGACAGCATCTCCACATTCCGGCTTCAACGCACTGTTGTACCTAACCCATCGACATGCCAAATCAGACCTGGAGCACCCAGCAGCTGTGGCAATATTTTGCCATTCCTCTAAACAATCCAGTAGTGTGTCTTTGCAATACAGCCGACGAAGCATTTGGCCACCACGGTTGTTGGGATCAAACCGGCCTTTCCCGTCAAGAACCTCCTGCTTGCTCTTTGCGAGAAACCCGCCTGCCTGCGGCCCGTACGCGTAGAAGGAAATGTTCAGCTTCCGTAGTGTTGGCAGCAGTTCTGACTCCACTCTGCGACTGACCGGGTTGTAACTTCCTTGGAACACCGTGGGAAGAACGTAGTTGTTGGACAAGCAATGAGCGTATATCTTCTCCACATCCTCTGCCAGATAGTTCGAGAGACCGAACCGTCGAAAGACGCCGCCCTCAAAGAGCTCTTGGATGCCAGCGAGAGTCTCTGAGATGGGCACCGTATGATCCGGCGAGTGGATGTAGAAGATGTTGACCTGTTCCACGCCCAGAAGCGCCAGCGATGCTCTTGCCCTGCGCACAATCTCCGAACGCCCAAGCGCTCCAGGCAAAGAGCCACCCGCGCCTTTTGTATCAATGGTAAAAGTCTCGCCCGCTTTGAGAAGTCCAAGAGTCTTCTCGCTCTCGCCGTATAGTTGCGCTGTGTTCAGATGCAGCACGTTCGCACGCCGCAAGGTGTCCAGGACTGCTTGACCAGCCTCTAAGGTTTTGAACTTTCGCTCGGGACTGAAGGCTGCGACACCATAGATATATGGCACACCACAGCTCGTGATGGAAGACATTGACGGTGCGTTGATGAAGTTTGTAATAATTAGTGAGTGGAAAGCGTACTCGGTGGAGTAAGAAGGAGAGGCGCTTGCAGAGAGAAGGAGGAGAAAGAGACTTGACGTACGCTTATCATACCACATCCCATACAGCATATCTGCAAGCGTTGATTCGCATGCGTTCGCTGTAGCACTGATTGGCATGCAGCGGGAAGGCCGAGTTTACCCCACCAAAGCGGCACAGCACATGTAACCCTGCGGCTGAAGCCTACAAGTATGTTTTGTGATTTTGACGACTTCATGCGGGTAAGCAGCCACAGTGAATTGGCCGTGCGAAAGATGCGGGCCAGCCTTGCAGCCTATCTATCCAATAGTCCATCTCTGAGCGGCCAGATGCGCACGAGTCAAAAGACAGAGCTTGGCCATCCCGCGAGCATTGCTAGAGCGACATGAACTCAAATAGACAGGTGAGACTCCATTCCGCTGACTCAAATCGGACAAATAATCCCTATCTTCACCTTACTCTGCAAATCCCATCACATCTTCCCACTAAGTCACGCATACCCATTCGCCCCCAGCCATTCCCTAACAACCCCCGCATCCCTCTCCGCATAAGCCGCATAACTCCTAATAGTATCATCCACAACCTCCAGCCCCTTATTATACCCCCTCGTATCCTTCCCCTTGAAGAACTCCTGAATCTCATCCGCCACCTTGGCATCCGTAAACTTATTCAATCCAAACCTGAGGAACCTCTCTAGGACAACCGGGTTCCCAGCAAGCGCAGGATGCACCTTGGAGTCCCAGTTATCGCGGATGTAGTGCCAGACCTCCGGGCGGACCTTGGAGTTGTTGGCAAGGGCAATGGTGGAGCTGTGCTTGTCTTGCATGGCGACGGCGTCGGAGAAGACAAAGTCCATGACTTGCTTTGCGAGGTCGGGGGTTTGGACGCGGCCGAGGGAGCCGAGGCAGATTTCTTTGCCGTCGATGGACGTGGTGTGGAGGTATTCGTTTTGGACGGCTTTGAGGGCTGGTTCGCCGCAGTTCTTGATGGCAGTGGCGAAGACGGCGCGGCGGAGCGAGGGGTGGATGGCCTTGTTGTCTCCATTGATGTAGGCGTCGAAACGCTTGAGGGCCTCGTCGACGGTGGCTTTGTGGCCGACGATGCCGGCGGAGAGGATGAGGCTGGCGCGAAGTTGGCCGACGAGGTAGTTCTCGCCATCCTTGAACTCCCAGCCGACCTTTTCGACTGCTGGGGTGATGAGCTTGAGGTGGTACTTCCTCAGTCCCTCGCTGATGTCTTCGCTGCCGGAGAAGACACTACGGACGTTGCCAATGTTGGTCAGAATCTGAGACCATACAAGGTAGTCAGACTCGTCCTGGAAGCGCTCTGCCAGTGCGAGGAGACCAGCGGTGGAGCCGTAACCTGCTACTGCGTTGGCGTAGGCGTCACCTACGAGGCCAATCTTGTCTTGCACGGTGAGCTGATCGCGGTCCTCTCCGAGCTTCTTCAAGCGGTCCGCAGGGTAGTTGGTGCGGTAGAAACCAGTGAGGTCCTTGTTGAGCAGGTAGAAGCTGTCGCTGACGTTGCGGATTGTGTCTTCCTTCTGTGTCATTGCAGTGGTCTCGTGAACAGACGCGCTGGAAGCTGACTCGCCAGAGTGAAGGCCAAGCGGAATCCACCAGGTAGTTTGGTCCTCTTCGGGCTTGACGTTACCCGCAAGAAGGAAGCGTTGTTGACGCAGTCCAATTTGACCAGGCTCTTCAGCTACGGTGACGACTGGGAAACCGATCCTGCGAACCCATAGGTCCATGAAGGTGTTGACGTTTTGACCAGACGCCTTGCTAAGGGCAGACCACAGGTCGTTGGTAGTGGCGTTGGAGTACTGGTGGGCCTTGAGATAGTCGGCAACACCCTGCAGGAAGACCTTCTCGCCAAGGTGAGCGCTCAGCATGCGGATGACTGAGGAACCCTTGAGGTAAGAGATGTGGTCGAAAATCTGGTCGACCTCAAGACCGTCGTATACGGGTACTTCGATGGGATGGGATGTTCGTAGCGCGTCAAGGGCGAAAGCTTGTTGGACGGATTCAGTCTAGAGAAATAGTCAATAGGCTGGTAGTAGATACCTCGAGATTTGTGACGTACGACAAACTGTCCCCAGACGTTCCATTCTAGTGAGAATTAGCAGAGTTCTGCAATAGTAGTGATTTGACGTACCTGGGTACAAATGATCAATGGCAAGCCATCCGACCCATGTCGCGAAACCCTCGTTGAGCCAAAGCTCGCTCCACCAGTCCATGGTGACCAGGTTACCGAACCACTGATGGGCGAGTTCGTGAGCAACAACGTAAGCGACCCTGTTGCGGTAGCTGTCGGCCGATGTGGCGGGATCGAAGAGTACGGCAGTAGTCCTAGGTACGTTAACATAAAATCCAGCTTGTTCAAGCACTTGACGCACCTGTAGGTGATGAGACCCCAATTCTCCATAGCTCCATGTGAGAATTCGTGAACAGCCAGCAGATCGACCTTGGGAAGCGGGTAGTCAATCTGGAAGACCTCGGAGAAGTAGTCGACAATCTTGTGGCAGTTGTCCAGAGCAAAACGACCCTGCTCCTTCAGACCACGGGTAGTGTAGACCCTGACAGGTATGTTCTTTCCGTTGTACTTGCGCTCGGTAAAAGCCTCGACGTACTCAAAGTCACCGATGGCCCACGCCAGCAGGTATGTGGACATGATGGGCGATCGCTCGAAGACGACAGTGTGGAAGCCGTCCCGCTTGCTGGGCTTGATCTCCTTCTCAGGCATGTTGCTGAGGGCGACCTGGTCCTTGGGCACTTCGAGCTCAACGTCGAAGGTAGCCTTCAGGTTGGGCTCGTCGAAGCAGGGGAAAGCGCGGCGGGCGTCGCAGGCCTCGAATTGGGTGCTAAACATGTAGTGGAACTCATCGTCCTTTGCGACGGAAGCGGGGACGTCGCCCTTGGGCTTGTACTTGGAGCGGTAGAAGCCGGCCATGATGTTGTTGACAAAGCCCTCAAACTTGATCTCCAGCTGAGCTTCGCCTGAGTAGCTGATCTTCTCGCCAAAGTCGAGTGTGACCTGTTGCCTCTTCTCATCGTATGAGATGTCCTTTGCTGACAGTGTCTTGTCGCCAGCCTTCAGCTCGGCGGTTTGCAGCTTGAGCTGATGCGCGTTGAGGACGAGGGTGCTGAAGCCATCGTCCTTTGTGATTTTGGTGGTGATGTTGACGGTACCCTTGTAGGCAAACTTGCCGCCGAATTCGAGGTCGTGGAGGGAGAGGGCGTAGTGCGAGGGTTTGGCCCTGGTTTGTCAGCTTGGTTACGGTACTAGGGATGTATCAACTAACCATGCGGGGAGGACGTCGCGATCTGAAGCCATGTTGACGAAACTGCTGGTGACTTCGCTCTGGCAGAACCTCTTTTGTGCTGCAAACGTGTTTGTGTTTGCTACGGCAAGCCTCGGTCTTAGGCGTAGTTGGGTACGTGGGGCAGAATCAAGCTCTCTAGCTGCAGAAGAGAAGCTTCTAGAGCGGCTAAGGTGGATCGAGGTGAGTGAATGCGATACAGCAGAATACAGACGCGTCGAAGGATTAGCTCTACACCTCAATTGTCGAGAGCAGAGTCTCGCAGAGGCAGATAGAGCAGCCAGGATGAAGGTCCGCGGGGTAGATAACCTCGAGCGAAAGAGGAAAGAGGGGTGTCAATGTTTCAATTGGACTGGCATGAGATGATGCGTGTAGGCTTAGAGGGGAAGGTGCGCGTGCGGCACGCCGAAGCGCCCCACCTAGGCTGAATCCCTGCGTTCGCTTTAGCGCGGGGTCTTGAATGTATTTATCTAGATCCAGATGGGAGGATGCTGGAACGGCATTCCGTCTTGCTGTTCTTTTATGTATGCGTTGTGATGGTTGAAGCGCGTTGTCCCCCGAGGTCTGCAGTGCCCTCCTCTCTCCATCTGCTCGAAGCATGTGTATCACGCACAAGCTGATGAATATCAATCCTGAAAGTGGTATGCCATTGACGCCTGCAAATGCTTCAGTATACGCCCCAGCCATGCGATAGTATCCTTTCCACCACGCCTACCAGCCACAAACGCCTCGCACACCTCTACATAGCAGACCCGCACCCCCATCTTCTCAATCCATCCCACCCGTTCAAACCCTAATCAAAACATCCAAACATTGTATCCTCCACTCCTTCTTCCCCAACAACCCCTTAACCCACTCATAACTCTGCCCTCCAGCTTCACTCCCCTGCCCTAGTCCAACCCTCCCCCTAACCCCCTCAACCGCCCCCCTCACCACCGCCTTGGCCGTATGATTCGCCGCCTGCGCCAGCACACCCGCCGTCTCCGCAACCGTGCCATTCAGCGCCAGCTCCGCGCTATCGGACAGCGGCGCATCGAACCACGGGGTGTGGAAGTCGAAGAGGGCGACGACGAGGATGAAGAGGAGGAGCGAGCAGTACACGCAGGGTCGGTTTAGGAAGTAGGTTGCTGAGATGAAGAGGACGAGGTAGACGGGGGAGGCGTGCGTTCGTAATCTGCGGCGGGGGAGGTGTTAGGGAGGGAATGCGCGTGCAGTGGTAGGAGTGGTAGGAGATGGGTGGGTGGGTGTGTGCTTACAAGAAGAACAAGACGGGGATCCAGCTGCGGAGGCAGAACATGGCGGGTTGGTGGGTTGTGGGTGTGACTTTAGGTGTGTGTAGGTAGGGAGCCTCGCGTGCGCACGCTGCAGCCCTAATGGCCCTGACGTATGTTTGGTGTCGTGTGAGGCGCGCACTTTACGGCGATAACTGAGGCGGAGGCGATAATCGTCGACGGGCGGACGTGGATGCGCTGACTAATGCGATAAGTCGGCGAGGCGAATGGGCAACGTGAAAACAGCGAGCGGACGAAGAAATAGCAAATGGGTTTATTAGGATAACAAAGTATCAAAGGTAAGAGGGCTGACGGCTGCGAGATGCATGGATGGTGCGGAGTCCTGGCCGCCGAATTAGCGTACGCTGATTGGCAGTGAGCCTTCAGGCAAGCATTCGGCTCCCCTTGATGCCTCGAGGCTGCAGTCGGTGGCGCACATGCATGCACTGCTTTTCTCCTGTCTCAGCCTTATCGCTTGCATATTCAGAACACTCCTCTGACCATCTCACGTCTATTCATTTCAAGGTATCTTCCTACATGCCCGTTCACCCTCGTGTGATGTCGTCCAACTCGTCCAACGCCCAACCAGCCAACTATCAGAGGCTGCCTCCTTCCATAAAAATGCCACAAAACGCCCGCCTAACACAAATATGCCCAGATACGAAGCAGAGTAGGACCGAACTCGGCCGCCAACAGCAGAAGGGAGCAGCGTCCATGCGCGCGCGGTCTATACGGGCAGGTTGAACTTCTTGCCTTGGATGACCCTGCATGTTCAATTAGCATGTTGATGCGCCTTCAGTAGCGGTTGGAGACGTACTTGGTGTAGTAAATGTAGAAGAAATCAGAGTACAGGATCGTCTGGATGATGCCGGCAATCACCGCGATCGGGTCGTAGAACTTGGGCACCTCGAAGAAGTAGCGGTAAATCCAGTTGGGGATGTACAGAGCCCGGTACGCCCCCAGCGCGAACAGGTAGTGTGTCGTGATTGTTTCCGCCTCGCCGGTTCTTTGCAGCATGAATAGCTGGGGCAGAATGGCGACTGATTCCAGCCAGATGGAGAAAGCCCAGAGGATCTACTTCAGTCAGCACCTTCCTCTTATATCACAAGTCCTTCTGCTACCCACCTCAGAGAATGTGTATTTGTACGGAAACAGTATCGCCAGCACCGCGCTCGCTCCCAGCAGATATTGCACCTTGAACGTGTCGAGATTCGGGTCGTGCGTCGGCTTGTAGTCGTTGAGCATGAGGTAGACGGTGTAGGCGGATGTGCTGATGAAGATGATTTTGAAAATGGTATTGTAGAGCGACTTGGGTTCGTAGAAGGTCCACAGCAGGTCGACGTAACGCGTGAGATAGACCATCAAATAGAGGAATTGTGACTTGAACGAGATGCCGGACGCGCTCTATGCCATGTCAGTATATGCGGCGCATCACGTGTGCAATTCCGATATACGTACGCTCGACACCTTCATCTTATGCAGCAGAATCAGGATGGATAGCAGGTGGGATAAATCCCCTAGACGTGTTAGCCCATCATACTCGAAGCATCATTTGGTATCGCGAGGCTTACCCAGCAGTCGGAAGAGATTCATCATGGCGGTGCGTGGGTCGCTGGTCGCGGCGAAAAGAGCGGCAGAGGTTTGGCGACGTGAGGCGTGGTGGTCGGTGGGTGTTGAGTGCCTGACATAAAAGACACGTTCCGCCAGCTGCTTCACGTAGGGATGGAGCTGTGGAGCCTTGCACGCCAAGACATGCCCCTGCCGCCAACGTCATCCCGATCGCCGCTACTTCCCGCAGCAGTTCGCACCACTGTCGCCATACACTCACCACTTTCACCCGCAGTCGGATATGGCTTCTCTTCTTGGGTGGAAAGATATCCTCAGGCCTATCCGCGATGGTTACCGCCATCTGTTTCCCACCCCGGACACGGGACCTACACCGGAAGAGAGACGCCATCAGCGCGCATTAGATCGACTAAAGGGTTTCGCCTACTTCGATACCTTTGAGCAATTGGAATCGTGGACCGAGGCTGACTCTGACCCTCTGCAAAGAGCCAATACGCCGTTGTTGCGAGCCACCGGTGGAGTTCCGACCGACGACTACAAAACTGGTGTTCTCTTAATCCATGACTATTCTGGCAACTACCACGACTACGAAAGCGTGCAGGCCGTCGGTGTGGACAAGGAACTCTACTCGTGTGAATATCTCCAGTTTGTTGATACTTTTGTCTACTTCTCTCATAAGCTGGTCTGTGTGCCCCCACCAACATGGACGAATACGCTGCACAGAAACGGTGTGGAAGCGCTGGGCACCTTCTTGATTGAACCGCAAACTGAAGGCTCGGAACGCCTGTTGAATCATACAACAGAAGAGTCTGGGGATTTGAACTTTCCCATCGCGAAGAAGTTGGCCTCCATTGCAACACACTTCGGCTTTGATGGCTGGCTCATAAACATCGAGAAGCCGTTCCCAAACGACGTATGGAATTCAGAGGTCCTTGAAGCGTTTCTACGCCAGCTTAAGGCTGAGCTAGGAGTCCATAAACGGCTCATATGGTAATAGCCTCACATCCACTATCACGCATGACTGACGCATGACTCTAACCCAGGTACGATGCGCTCACCACTTCCAACAAAATATCATACCAGAACGCGCTGACCAGCTCCAACCTCAAATTTGCCGACGCGTGCGAAAACCTACTCACCAATTATTGCTGGACGGATATTCATGTTTCTGAATCAATGAAGCTCGCACAGTACGCTGGCTTTCATGGCCCTTTCGCCAAAGGCAAGAAGAAGAGTATCTACTTTGGCGTGGACGTCTGGGCACAGAACAAGTCTAGTTTTACCCACCCTCGCGTCACATATCCGGAATATGGGGGCGGTGGTACAAACACTGGAGTCGCATTGGCCAGACTCTCGGATACGGGTCAATCGGTTGGTATCTTTGCACCAGCATGGTCGTTCGAGCATTTTCCAGGCCATGAGCGGGACGTCGTACGCACCGTCTGGGAAGGTACTTCACTACCAGAGGGCATTGAGTGCACCTGCGGAGATTGCACATCGCGTCATTCGCCGAACAAAGAGCTTCCAATCCTACATACAGCCAAAGAGCGCGTGGCAGGCTCTGAACACTTCTTCTACACCAACTTCACCCGCGCATTCTCTCCACATGATGACGACGCAAAATACCTATTCAACAACTGCAATGCACACTCACAACTGGGCTCGCAATCCGTTCTTCCACGTCCAGCCAGCCTCATCCCCGGGAGCGAAGGCGTCACACTCTCCCATCACATAGAACACTCTCACAAACAAAACATCCTAGTCATCTCCTTCATTTCCTTAGTCCCACAACAGCCAACCGAAGACTTTGACGTAGAAGCCTTCCTTCCCCTCTACAAACTCGACATGCCAGCCGATGGATCCCTGCAACTCTCAATGGTGCTAGACAGCTACGAGGATCCTAGACCACCGGAAATGGAGGACATGACGTTTTTCTTGTACTTCAAATCGGGTAGAACGATGCATTATGACACGTTGCATCTATCGCGGAAGCCGATCGTGTTGCTGGATAATGTACCTGGAGCGAGGATAGAAGAGCTGGGTATACGGGTTAAGGGTCCGTTGAGGGGGACTTTACGTGGGCCTGTGAGGGTGATGGGTATCAAGGAGATTTGCATCTCGCCGATATCTAATTTGCCGAAGGGTTCTTCTCTCGGAATCACTAACGTCCGACTCGAAAAGCGCGGTGAAGGGGGCGGTAAGCATGTTAGGCTGTGCTGGGAGTACGAGGATGCAGAGAACGGCAAGTCCAGAATTACGAATATGCCATGGAGCGACATCACCGGCCCGTTTTCACACTTCACGATTCGCTCATCGGGGCCACTATTCGCCAGAGCGTATGCGCTGGAGCATGTTATGAACGAGAAGTTTGTGGGACGGTATGTGGGGCAAGGGATTGAGGTTGAAGTCACAGGCATTGGCTTCGATGGACGGACACTTGCAAAGACGAAAGTCGTGTTGCAGCTGTAACATGGTTGATTCCACTTCCTTCCACGGTACTGCGATGACGCAGAGCAGACGAACCACTCACGATAGGGTGGGTGGTGGATGTCGTCACAATGCTAACTTTTAGTTTATTGGGAGTTAGGGTGGTGGGTTACAAAGCTACCCAACGCGTTGGTTGATGTCAATTTCATTCACATCTTCCCATGGTACTGTGGCGACTCGGAGCAGACCAACCACTTACGACTTCTGAAATTCACATGACACCTGCTCAAAACCAGGAATCCGGTTCAGACGCGCCAACCTAGCACGAAGGCCGAGGTAGCGCACTAGAGGTATATAAACCTCTGTTCGCTACCCTCCCCTCTCGACCCCAAAACTCCTCCACCATGCAGTCTCCACAGAAAGACCAACCATCTCCTTCCGAGCCAATTTGGGAGACTCACCAAGAACGCCCCTGTCCTTCAACGATAGGTATAGACGCCCTTAAGTCCGAGTGCGAATTCTACCTCAACAGCTTCCCAGGTAGAGATAGCCTAGCCCCAAACACAGCGTTCAACGGTCGTATAAGGAAATGTCTCAACGGAGGGTACGATAACCACGACAAGGCCCCAGAGATCCTAGCAGGAATCACCAAAATGGTTTCATACCGCAACAACTTAACAAGGTCAGCAACAAAACTGTTGACCCTCGCGGGTATATTCAAGCCCAACGGGTTAGACTGCGCAGACTTCGACTTTGAGACGTTCCAAGAATCGCAGGAGTACAAGAATAAGAGGGGCAAATACGAACATGCCTTCAGACAGGTCGCTCGATTCGACTTGATCTTTTTTCCTGCTCCGGATGACGAGGAGGGGAGGCCGTGGGCTAAGCCTGTTAAGTATGTTGCTGCGGCTTTGACGCTGGATGAGAATACGGACTCGAGCGAGGAGATTGCGGATGCGGTGCAACGGATTACATCGAGTATGTACATGAGCCTCTTCATTCTGCAATGGCGCTAACGACAATATGTACATAGGCTACCTGAAGTCTTTACTTCATAAAGATGAAGAGGGAGCCAACAACTCTACGACCCAGGGCGAGGCGCCCAAAAACTTCCCAACACCAAAGTACGCGCACTCTCAACCCGAGTAAACCGCCGGTCCAGGACTAACATACTTGAAGCTAGAATCATAAATCGCCTTCGTAAAGACCGGATCACTAGTCTTGTAACCCCCAGGAAAGCTAACACCACTCGGCGTCGCACTGCCACCGCCCGTAACCTTCACCTGGAAGCAACTAACATACGGCTGCGGGTTATTCGCACCAGCATGCAGCGCAATTGCCTCGGCGCGGACCAAGTAATCCCCGGAAGCAATGTTCTTGGGCACGGTAAAGGCGCGCTTTCCGCAGTTCGCATTAAGGATCTCGGTGCCCCAGGAGGCTGTCGTGCCCGTGTATCCGTCTTCGGCAACTTTGAAGAAGGAACCCGAGGTGGCGGTTTTGGCGTCGGCGACTTTGGCCATGTATACGAAGACGGGGCCGTAGTGGTTGCCGCCGATGGCGGGTTGGGAGCAGGAGCGTGCGTTGGGTTGGGCGTGCATTTCGACGGTTAGGGAACCGCCGGCTGTGGGGGTTTTGTTAGTATATGATATATGTCACATCCTCATATCTCATTACATGTGCCATGCTGGGTGGGCTGAGGATAAGGATAAGGATAAGGGATTAGAGAGGCTTACCAGCGACTTCGCAAACCCCCGATGTAGAAGCTGGGCCGCGTCCGCAGAACATGTCGGGCGAGGTCAGACTGGTGATGGGACTGTTGTCCTTGACAGTTCGCACACATGTGCCAGCTTTGTCTTCGCTGCCGACCCAGAGTTCTTGCCAGGTCGAGTGTGCGGAGACGGTCGCTGCCGCAGCGAGGAAAACGGTGGCGTACTTCATCTTCAGATGGTTGACGGGGTAAGATGGCAGAAAGAGTAAAGAGGGTATGATGATTCGTATTGAGTCTTTCTTTCGACCACTGGCACTACTCTCAGTATTTATTCACCACTTTCGATTCTTTTGGTCATGCATACACCGTAGCACACTTCACCACAGCAATCTAACACCGACGTTTAACATCCACCCGGGCCGCTGTACCTACTCCTCCCTCGTCATCTCCGCACCCCGTTCGTAGCCTCCACCCACCTATCTTCTTTCATTTTCGCCCCGACCACTTAGATAGATTAACATCGCCAGCATCAAGCTTTCCTTGGCACCTGTCGGGTAGCGCGTGCCCCGTCAGGCCGTCAGCACTCAATTTGCACGACACACGCTCATTCGCCGGGATGGGGGAAAGCGGAGGCGCGAAGTGTAGATGGAGGAGATTTTGAACTTGCATGCGGGCCATGTCGCCCCCCAGGTTTCAGCGTTTTACCTGATTGGGCACGGCATTGGGGGTTTGGTACCGCATGTCACATGGCGCAATGGGGGTGGGCTTTTGGGTTTCGGACGGAAACGGTGGGGCTTGGCTATATGGAGGTCGTATATTATGTGCGTCATGGTGGTCACTGGGGCGGCTGCGTTGGGGCGGTGCGAGGCCGTCGTGTAAGCATTGGTATCTAACATGTTCCAAGGTGTGGTGTCTTTGGGCTCTGGCGTAAAGCTGTCGATTGTTTGTGCCTGAGCTGTCAGGTGCGTCTCGAAAGGTCGTTGTGATGATCCCCTTATGTTCCTGATCGAGAATGCCGATCTTTCGGCAATTTGGGCCTGGAGCCGCCCGCCGGGCTAGTCGGTATTTAATTCGAAACGGTGTAAAAACGCTAGAACATCCATCATTGGTTTGAGCGTGTCGATACCCACAGCTGTTTTCTTTCTTTTCGCCTTGAGTTTGTATACAGAAATGAGTAACGAAGGCCAATGGCGGAAAAAGAGGGTGGACGGGCATGGGCCTGAACGCCATCGACTCTTCCCTGCAAGTTCCTCTCGATTCCGATCTGCGATAGATGGAGTATTGTTCAATCTTGGTCTGAGCGTATGATAGTGTAGTGCATGCGAGGCGGTCCCAACCCGGATTCCTTCACGCCTCTTCCGTAGTGGCATAATCGAGATTGCTTCAGATTGGTAATGAAGGAAGCGTTTGGCATCGCAACCATATCGGATTCGACGCCAGTGGTATCCCAAACAAGCACGGCGCAAAGTTTACCAGGCTGGCCTCGACACCTTTCCCGTGCGTAGTCGTAGATGCCGATCCGCTGGTTCTTCTCGAAGGAAGACGTCTGATGTGCTATCGCCCCTCAGAGTCTAAGCACCTTCCACCTTGACGCTCTGCTCCTTCTTCCCAAAGTAGTTCCCCAGCGTATTCTTCTGCGTCGGCTTCTCCTCCTTCTTCCCACCTACTTTCTTCTTCGCTTCCCCTACACCCATCAACTTCTTGAACTCTTCCCACTCGCCCTTCCCCACGATCCCCCCACTAGCTTCTTTATGCCCCCTCGCAAAGCTCTCCCCAAGCCGTTTTCTCAACTCTCCGTCGCCTGCGACGATGCCCTCCAGCTTCTTGATGATGTCGACCTTCTCCTCTCCTTCGCGCGCTCTCGCACATTTCGCAACGCGGCACGAGAAGTTGACTTTGTCAGGCAGGTAGCCTTCGTTCGCGCACATGACGATTTCTAGTTTGTTGGACTTGAGGGTGCCGGACCAGCGTGTTGCGATGACGGGATGTATCTGCGCGGCGCTTGAAATAGTCAGAACGGCGATCGTAGCGTCGGCAGAGAACTTCGGGGCTGTGTGGGTGCAGCGTTCGGTCTCCCGTCTGACCTCCATGCTTGCATCTTTCAGCTTGTCGGCTTTTGAGATGTCTCCGGGACTGCTCGCGGAGATGACGGCATCCCAGGCATCTCGCACATTGTATGCTGCTGATCTACGTGGTGCATTGGCCAGAGCCACGGCATCGTTGATGGACTTCTTAGGATGTTGCTTGAATGTTGCTACCATGTCTGGAAAGGGGGGTTCCCACTTTATGCTGCTTCCGAGATCACCGTGGGCTCCTAGTGCTGCTAACCATGATGTCTTGTCGTGAAGGTCAGGGTGAAGTGGGAGGCAGATTGTGTATGTCAGTAGTGCGCTGGTTGCCACAGGTGGACAGTCGTGTGCAGTCACATAATCGCTTCCTTCTGGGAACCCGCCCTCATCTGCAAAGTGGTGGTCTACCACGAGACATGTGTGAGGTGAATTGATGACAGGCGGTGTTTTTCGGCTGCCTTGGTCTAGGATGAAGATATAGGAGGGCGACATGGCTGTCAGAGCCTGCTTTGTGCTTTCATCGTGTACATTAGAGCCTTTCGGTGGGAAGTAAACGGATAGTAGATCAGCTGGGAGACCTAGAGCGGTGAGAGTATGATGAAGTATGGCACCAGAGGAAAGTCCGTCTGCATCCTTGTCGGGTAAAATGACTGTTGGCTTTTGCGCTTCAGCACTGTGGCAGATTAGCACCTGATATCTCATCCGTCGAGTGCGTCTTAATGTACCACGCTCTGATGATCTCTCGCGCGCGTTCAATTTGCTCCTTCCTCGCCGGCCAGACATTCTCTCCCGACTCATCCTGTCTTGATGGAGTGAGATGATACGCAGGAATCTCAGTCTTCGATTTCGTCGTCGTCTTGGTCTTCTTTGGTTTTGGTGGCGATATATCTTTCTCAGCTTTCCGTTTTGCTGGACTCGACATGATGGTGGATGCGTGGAGTTGCCGGGGTTGAATGAAATTGGCGAGTAGTGGCGACAATCGTGGCGGATATAGACTTAGTGAAGAGAAGTTCGATAAGTGCGCCAATCGACAGACGGGAAATCTCATTATACAGGTACGATAAGATAGTTTGTAGAGCGAAACGACTGGATGCAAGGGCGAAAGGTAGGAGAGTATCGATGACGTCGTTGACACGCTAGTCTCTTTTTCGCCCAACCTCCCTGTCATACTTCAGCACCGCGTCAAGCAGGACCTGGGCTCCCAACGCGCAATGCTCAGGACTCGTGTACTCCTCAGGATTGTGACTTATCCCGCCTTTACTTGGCACAAAGATCATAGCTGTGGGACACACTCTGCTTGTCCACGCACTGTCATGTCCTGCTCTACTCTTGACCCAACAAGTCTGCGGTTCATACACTAAATCCACCGCCGCCCATTCCACAGCATCGATACAATCTTGGTGGAATTTCGATTCTGGTAATCCCCATGTACGCTCTACGTGATATGTCGTCGCATTGTCTTCCTCTTTGATGATCGTATCGAATTCCTGTAATATGCACTCGGAGAGTTCCTTGACGAGAAAGTCATCATCGCATCTGATGTCTACCACGAATCTCACTCCAGCGGGTATAGTAGCTTGCGAACTCGTATCACTGCTGATGACACCCACGGTAGCTACACCACAACCGCTATGCAAGGCAGTGTCCCTGACGGCAGTGATCATCCGCGCGGCTGTTACCAAAGCATCAGCTCTTTCATCCATAGGCGTCGTACCCGAATGGCCTTCTCGGCCTTTAACGCGGATGTCGAACCATTTCATTCCCTGTACGCCTGGCACGATACCTATGTCGGTTCCAAGGCGCTCTAGTTTTGGACCTTGCTCAATGTGCAGTTCGAAATGCGCGGAAAGACTATTCTCGCGGTAGTCACAGGGCGTTGGACCGAGGTAGCCGGTGGATTGTAGAGCGTCTTTCATGGATACACCGTCGGTGTCGCGGAGAGCATGGCATGTAGACAAATCCGTGCTACTGTGCGTGCTCCAAACACCAGACCCCATCATTGCACCAGGGAAACGCGCGCCCTCTTCATTTGTCCAGTTTATCAATGCGATGGGGTGGTGAGTTTGGACGTTGTTTTCGTGCAATGTGCGGAGGACTTCTAGGGCGGACTGGACGCCCAAGATGCCGTCGTATCTAGATAAATATCAGATTCTTATAACTGTAATAGTCGCTTGGGCGTTGTTGCACGTACCTTCCACCTGCTGGTTGCGTATCCATGTGACTCCCCATGCCAATTGGCGCCTTGTCTGTGGCGGTACCTGGCCGTATAGCAAAGACATTGCCCATTTGGTCGATTTTGATGTCGCACCCCAAAGACTTACATTCGCTGACCAGCCAGTCTCGAGCTGCTTTGTCGGAATGGGTCAATGTCAAGCGGCACATGCCCTTTGAGGGTGCTGGAAGCGCGCCATACGCAGTGCATGTCTCTTGCAAGGTGTTGTTTAGCCTGTCGCCGTTGATTTTGAAGCGTTTGAAAGGCATTGTAATGTAGATGGAGGCTCTGGTAGTCCGTAGACTGATTTGGAGGGTTAAGAATAGTGGGTAGACGCGTCAAGGTCGCGAAAGCTAGTCTCCACGTGTCCGCTTACAAAAAGCGCGTCTTCATCATCTATGACAAACGTCTGTGACTGTACAGGGTATCTGATTCATTTTTGAGCGCGTTTATACGCGAATAAGCGTCGTGGTTGATAAGAAGGACGACGGGAGGAAGGTGGGGCAGCGCCAAAGAGGGGTCGAGATACGCACCTCACAAACCTGGACTAGCCTTCTTTCCACAACCACGATAACCGCTGAGATGTATCCTCCCGTGATCGTGTATGAGTGGGAATTACATTTCGTGTTATTGTTCTACCTAGGAAAAGGTTGAAAAAAGCTGCAATGGAGTACGATCTAATCATCATCAATGGGGTGGTAGTGTCTGAGGATGAAGTTCAAGAGCGGGATATTGCTATCAAAGACGAAAAGATCGCAAAGGTAGTTCCAAGAGGAGGTCTGAAAGATGCACAAGCAACGAGAACGATAGATGCTGAAGGCGGCTATGTGATGCCAGGAGGCGTGGACGCCCATGTTCATCTCCAGGAACCTCCATTGTTTGGAAATGGCTCAACGGCAGACAACTACGAGACTGGCAGTCGATCAGCAGTATGCGGTGGTACCACTACCATGGTGACATTTGCACCACAGAAGAAGACGGAAGACACTCTCCTCGATACCCTAGCAGCCACACATGAGAGAGCAAAGGACAACTGCTACATCGACTATTCATTCCATATCATCGTCGGCAACCCTTCAGAAAGGGCGCTCTCAGAGTTCAAGACTCTGCGAGAAGAAGGCATTTCTTCACTCAAGATCTACATGACCTACGAGGCCCTTCAACTGCACGATGGTCAGATCTTAGACATCCTCCTCGAAGCCAGGAAGCAAGGCATAACGACCATGATCCACGCCGAGAACGGACAAGTAATCGACTGGATGACCGCGCAACTCGAGAAGAAGAAGCTGTTCGCGCCGAAATACCACGGCTCCTCCCATCCGCCCATGGCAGAGACCGAAGCCACCTACCGTGCAATTAGCTTATCAGAGTTCATGGATACTCCCATCCTCATCGTCCACGTATCCACGCCCGCAGCAGCCGCACACATCAAAGCAGCGCAAGATCGCGGACTACCAATCTACGCCGAAACCTGCCCGCAATACCTTTTCCTCACGAAGCTAGATCTCGACCAACCCGGTTTCGAAGGCGCGAAATGCGTATGCTCGCCCCCACCCCGCGAAAGCGAAGCAGACTGCGACGTCATCTGGGAAGGCCTCGCAAACGGCACCTTTACCATCCTTTCTTCCGACCACTGTCCCTTCCGCTATGACGACCCTGAAATGGGTAAGAAGTCTAGCATCAGCGCAGAGTACCCGCTAGGCCACTTCAAATATATCCCGAACGGCTGCCCTGGTATCGAAACACGCCTTTCACTCACCCTCAGCGCGAGCCGCCTCAAGCTTACTAAATTCGTCGAAGTCACGTCTGCAAATCCTGCGAAGCTATACGGTCTCTATCCGAAGAAAGGCGCGCTGATAGAGGGCGAGTCGGATGCTGATATCAATATCTGGTACCCGGATGGCAAAATGGAGGAGTTTGAGCTGACGAATAGCATGTTGCATCATGATGTTGACTACACGCCTTTTGAGGGCAGGAAGCTGAAGCAGTGGCCGAGGTGGACCTTGTTGAGGGGGAAGGTGGTTTGGGATAGGGATAATGGAGGGCTGTTAGGGGAGAAGGGGTATGGCAGGTTTACGAAGAGGGATACGAGTAGTCTTGCGAAGCCGATGAGGGAGGGGGAGTGGGTGTTGCCGTTGTAGGTGTGGGTTGTGGTGGTGCGCGTGCGCCGTGGAATTGGACTCGTAGATTAATCATCGACGCGTTGAACGTGTTTGGTTATATCGTGGCACGAAATGTCGCTTGTGACGCGTGAGTTCCCTTTGGTATCCTCGTAATGTATTGAGTGTTGTAGCCTTGCTTGAGCGAACGGCTGGGCTTGCAGCTTGATGTTTGCCGCGGCTTGATCCTTATCTTATCAGCCCCCTGTGCACCTCGCGTCGCACCCCATTCTTGCTTCTACGTTCCTTCGCGACAGGGCGCACATTGCGCGTATCTGCATCATGTTACATCGAGCATGTATGACTAATGCCGTGCTATCGTCTTATCAATGCGGCAGTTTCTGTTTGCCGTTCCCGATGCAGCTATCAGGCCCAGGAGGCTTATAGCTGGCCAACATGGGTGTACATGGGCTTGAGGAAGCTTGTCATGCGCGCAAGCTGAATATCCTCATTTTCTAGGGAAGATGACGACCTCAGATTTATTGGTAGAGAATGTAGATGTACTTGTGGTAGGTGGAGGGCCAGTAGGTACATAACCCCAGCATCTATCTGCTAGACCACCCTACTGACAAGTCATCCTAGGCCTCGTAACCGCCTACCAACTCGCGCGCAACCTCCCTCGCTCTACGCATCGCATCAAGATCATAGAACAACATCCCAAGTCGTCCCAAGACAACTATGGACGCGCCATCACCCTCTTCCCAAGGACGACTGAAATGCTCGATCAACTTTCTCTGGCGGATTCCCTTGCTCAGCAGTGTTTTGCTTGTCGCGAGACCGTGAACTACGATAAGCATGGCAATGAGGTCGAAGGAAGAGGTTGGGCGTTCATGGAGAATATGAAGGATACCAAGTGGGACTTCGCCCTGGTGCTACGTCAGAAGTACCAGGAAGAGGTGTTTAGGAAAGCACTGGTTAAGGAGGGGGTACAGCTTGATGCGCCGTATACCCTGGTGGGCATCGAGATTGTAGGCGGGGTTGGGATGGGTGGATATCGCATACTGGCTACAATTGAACATGGCGAGACAAAGGTGAAGAGCGTAGTCAGATGCCGATATCTGGTCGGCGCAGACGGTGGGCGGTCTTTCGTACGACGAGCGATGAAGATCCCCTTCGATGGCTCCTCCAGCGAAGACAAGTGGGTACGCGTCGATGGCGTTATCGAGACCGACCTCCCCAAACCGCGAACGTACTGCGCCATTGAATCGCCGACACACGGGAACGTCCTCTGGGCCGCGTTAGATCGAGGCGCCACGCGCATTGGCTTTTCGTTCACGGCAGAGCGTCAGAAAGCATACAAGGTGTTTGACGAGGAAGCTGCTGTCAAGGAAGCCATCGCGTCAGTCAAGCCGTTCAACCTCAAGTTCAAGCAGGTGGATTGGTGGACCATCTACGTTGTTGGGCAGCGCATTGCGCGGTCATTCTTCGTGAATGACTGCATCTTCCTCGCTGGTGACGCATGCCACACGCATAGTTCGGGTGCAGCACAAGGCATGAATACCGGCATGCATGATGCCGTCAATCTCGGTTGGAAGCTTTCCCTCGTGCTCCAAGGTCTCGCCAAACCCGATCTGCTACACTCGTACGAAGCAGAGCGACTTCCCAACGTTCAGCGACTGATCAACTATGACAAAGACATCTCGCGCCTCATGACGATGCAATTACCCGAGGGCTGGACTGGCGACCCGAACGCCGATCCGAATGAGGTACTAGGAGTTGTCATGGCCGAAGCAGCGACATTCAGTAGCGGACTGGGTATATACTACGATCCAGACTCCTACCTCAACCTCACCCAGTGTTCTGGTGTATCCTCGGTACAGCCTGGTCAACGCGCACCAGATGTTACGCTCCAGAAACCTGCGACTTTCGAAGCTACGCGACTACAGAGTGAGACACCGAATACGGCGACGTTTTATATTGCGCTGTTTGCTGGGGAGGTGGCGCGCACGAAGCTCGCTTTGGCTTCATTCACTGCTGCGATGTCTGCACTGCCTTGGCTTAATGATGAGGATGTTCCGATATCGTGTCTTTCCATTATTGCAGGTCCGGGGGGACCATCGGCGTATGAGACGCTGGGTGGTATGCCGTTCGGTCGTGTGTTCTACGATGCGGACTGTAGTGCGCATATGCGCTATGGTGTTGCGACTGAGAAGGGCACTGTAGTGGTGTTGAGACCTGATGGGTGGGTTGGCACGGTTGTTGAGCTGGATGGGAATGCGGGGGCGAAATTGGAGAGGTACTTTGCTCGGTTTCTGACTGCTGCAGCGGGGGGTCACAAGGCTGAGGCGAAGCTGTAAAGATGTGACAGGATCACCAAGCTCTGCCGGTGGGCTCATGCGCGTTGTGTCGCTCGTTCGACAAGTTCAGCTGAGTGCTTTACACAACAGGATTCTCGACGACCATCCAACTCATGATGCTTCCGTGAATAGCCAATCGCGTGGGCGAATGCTCAAGGCTGAGATTGTTCCTACCCTGCGATGCAGACAATCATACGATGAGGGTCGGATTCTCGATGAGTAGGCGACGAAGTTGGCCCCGATTCATCGCAAATCATCTTGCGGTGGCTGCTTACCCGCAAAAACTTCTCAAAAAAACATGCAGCCAGCAGTCTGGCGCCTGAGGCGTGTTTAAACGGCAATGTGTGGTTGTCTGACCTACAGGGAGGAGCTGCTATCATGTAGGTCTCTGCGGCTTGCATATGCGCGTCTTCCTTGGCAGCTGAGCTGGAGCGTGATATAATTTCGAGGACAACTCAGCCTTGGATCATTGCGCTTGTCGTTTGTTCTCACAAAGCTGCAAACTTTTCATATACAGCGAATATGTCCGGATTGGAAATACCATCGGCTCAGATCAGCACTTTGCTCCAACAAATCAAACCCGGCGGTGTTCTCGAAACCACATTTCTCAAACCTGCGCGCGGCAACACGTTCATCTACGACTACGAAACGAAAGGCTTCGTACAAGAGAAGTCCAGAACTGATACCTTCAAGAGCATCGATGAGATTCCATCCTTCCTCCAACGTGCACCACAGACAATTGGTGATGCAGCAGACGCCAACGATGCCGACGGGGAAGTTCCGCCTCCTTCGCCTCAGGCTGTTGAATTTGTCACCAGTATCAATCTTTTTGAGCTTCCATTCAAGAAATCCATGATCAGTTTCGTCCTGCCAATGGTTTTGCGTGCTATTACCAAAGAACATCTCCACTCTTTGTTGTTTGAGGAGAACAAGACCACAACAACTGGACGTCTCTTGTGTTCAGAAAAAGGTCATAGTATACTGTTCGAGACACCTGAAGACTCAGTTCCCTACCTCTATCTTTCGCTCAAGGGAGTCGAAACAGCCGGCATCCAAAGGCGATGGCAGGCCATGCTTGCCTATGACGAGGAGGGCGATTGGAGGAAGCATAGCTTTGAGAAGCTCGAAACGTATAAGTACACGCATGATGTCGACCCAAGCACAACCAAATTTGGACCCTTCGACGCTTTTGCTTGTATGATTCGAGACCTCGTATCGCAGTACATCAGGGTCGTTCAGAACGAGGCAAATGCAATCATGGACGACATCAATCGGGTCGAGAAGTCTTTGGAAGGGTCTCAAGCTTTAAGCAAATTGCTTGGCCAACTCAATACAATCAGTCGCACGATAAGAGTTTCAAGCCTTGAGAAACAATTCAAATTCAGCATCGATGCTGCGAAATGGGCAAACGGAGCCCTGAGACCATCGAGCCACACACTTGTGGGTTCCGACCTGCTACTGTCAGCTCGTAAAATGGAAAAGTACCACCCAGATCGATTGAAGGAATATGTTGAGCATTTACGCCAGCGCATAAACGAGGTCGCTGCCGAAAAACAGCAAGATAGAGATGAGCAGCGCCACGAGCGAGAAGACAAACGCCAAAAGGAGAAGGACAAGCGTCACGTGCAAGAGGAGGTGCGACGTGAAAAACGGGAACAGGAACGACAGGAATTCGAAATCGAGCGTCGAGAGCTGCTCGAACGAGCAGAAGCTCAGCGAGAGGAAGACAGAGCCCGAGCCGATAGGGAATGGCAACTTCTGGAACGGAATACCAAAATTGCAGTAGCAACTCTGCAAGACAGTCGCACCATGAGTGGCGTAGCCTGGGTCACCATGGCGTTCCTTCCAGCCACCTTCGTCTCCTCGTTCTTTGGCATGAACTTCTTCAATGGTATCGCAGGGAAAGTTCCATTTGATGAAGCGAGCCGCAGCGTCTGGTTGTTCTTCGCGATAGCAATACCCACCAGTGCTTTTGTTCTGCTCACGTTCTACTTTTGGGACAAGCAAGAGTTCAAGAAAGATCAGCAGGAATCGACGTTGGTGAGAGTTCCTACGTTGACGGGCCAAAACGGCACTACAACAGCACAAGCTACAGAGGCGGAATTGGGACTGCCAGTACAGCACGGCAGAGTGAAACCAACCTCTCGGAATCTATCACAATCCCGAGCCTCCACTGAGGCAGCACAACACAACAGAGTGGAATCAAACTCTTGGAATCCATCGCCATCCGAAGCCTCCAACGGGGCGGCACAACAAAGAAGAGTGGAATCAAATTCTCAGAATGCACCACCATCCCGAGCCTCCACCGACGCAGCACAATACGGAAGGGAAGTATCAGGACAATGGTATGCACCGCTATCCTCGATTTCCACCGATGCAGCACAACACAGCAGAGTGAATTCAAATCCCTAAAAGCCATCCACAACCCCGAGCCTCCACCGAGCCACCAACCCCCTCCCTGCACCTCCCCTAGCCTCACACAGTGGGGCATGATCTACCGAGCCGGTGCGGGTCTCGCGACCCACCCCACCCTAACTTCCTACGCTGGCGCAATGTCGCGATTCAAGAAAACCGCCGTAGCTGCCTTGTTTTCCTGGTTGGTGTTGTTGGTGCGGCAAGTGGGCGAGGCGTGCCGGCACGCGTCAGGCCGCTGCGCTGGTGGTTGAGTCGTTGGCTGTTGTTGTGAGGTTGGCTGGCTTGGCTTTTCTTCTTGACTGGAGTATGGTATTTGTAACTTTTCGATGGGTGCGGATGGCTGTTTGGGGGTGTGGCGGGTTTGTTGGTTGGTGGGCTGTGGTGTGGTGACCGATTGAAGATGCTTCTGTGTTGGTAGAGCGCCTTTTGAGGGGTGCGCAAAGTGTGAGGACATTATACGAAGGCTATAGCACTTTGAGGGTTGAAAGTCGTACTTTGATGCATTAAAACGTATTATTGGGTATCTGCCAAAGTTCATAGATCGTAGAAAGTCGCTTTACTACACCGTCGCGCTTTAAAGCCACCTCCTCGCATCCAACGACTTCTCCTTCTTGTGCTGAATTGGTGGTAAAGCCTGCAAACTCGGATGCGAGCTCCCCCGATCAACACTGTACTCCGACTGCACCATAATACCTCCCATTGGGGAGCCAACCACCGGCGCCGGCGCCGCAACATCGGCCAACGGCTGCACATCCTCATTCGACTTGAACGACCGATCCAGCGACCCTTCTGAGGAGTTTTCCGGCGAATTTCTATCCGCGAGGACACTGTCCTTTCCGCCCATGCCAACGCCCATCTCGTACTCGTCTAGGCGGACGAAGTCGTCTTTGTCCATCTTGCTCCGGCCCAGAGTGCTCAGTTGAGAGCGATCGGTCTTTGGTAGCCAGATGCGGGATTTGAGGTCTTTGCTGCCATTGTTCTTCTTGCTGCTGTTGCCCGAGTTCTCTGCGTAGTAGTATTGGCTTGGTGTCTTCTGTTTGGGCCAGATGCGTTCGCGGATGGAACGTTGTAGTTGACGGATAGCGGGTGCGCAGGCGACGATGGCGCCGACGTGGGCTTCGATGGCGGACCAGTATCCGATGGGTAGGTAGTCCCAGGTTACGTTGGTGGTTTGCGCGAACTGGATCATGTATTTGAGGCGGAGGATGCTGACGATGGTCACACTGGGGAGGTGTTAGTTGAGGCAAGGTGAGATGTGGAGAATGAACTTACAAGCCTCCACCGAGAAACATGCACATGATACCAAACTTGCGCCGACGGGTCATGGCAAGCTTGCTGAGCTCTCTCATAGGGATGACAATGACAACCAGATCGAGAAGAATGTTGACCGCGGCAGAAGCCCAGGCATCGGCGTTGAGGTTGATGCATTTTCCGTGATGCTCGCCGTCCCAGTGTTCCCACGCAATGCGTATCGGAATGCATTGCAGCGCGGTTGCTGTGACGAATGCGATGATGTACATGATGCAGATTACGATGGTAACGTGGATGACGCGTCGGAGTCCCTGGTGAGGGAAGATACGGAGGTAGAAGAGCAAGACTGCTATCTTGGTCAATGCGATCGACGCCAGGTAGAGAAGCTCCGTGTAGTAGAATATCTATCATCATAGATGTATTAGCGCAGGATCTTAGAACTTGCAGAACTCATTACATACCTCGAGAATCTTGGTGATGTTTTCGAAAGACACCATCCACATATCCGTACCTAAGCCCAAAAGGTTCAGAAGGTAGGCGCATATCGTGAGCGGGATGATGAGTATGATGGCCGCAGTCATAACCCAATCGTCAATGCCCCAATTTCCGCCGAACCAGGGAAGGCGTGCGATTACGCGTAGGATGTAGGCTCCCAAGGATAGTACTCCAAAGACTATTGTAGTGACTGTTCCTTGTTCCGTCTTGTTTCGAATGGGCGCATCCATCAACTCAGTAAGAAACCTCTTCGCCGCTGCACAGGCAATTAGCAGAAACTTCAACGAGTAAATATGAGAGAGGACCTACTCAGTGCTTCTTTTGGCTTGCAGCTAGCCAAGACACATTTGCTCAAGTCATCGAGAAGCTTCTCGTTGCCTTTGATGCAGTCGATGTCTGTGAGCTGGCATGTTGATGATGAGATTATTGTGAGGGTGCAATCTAACTGTATGACCGTAATCAGTATGGAGTCTTGTGAATCGACATGGCTTACATACCGCGCATGGAGGCAGATTCTTGACCGCAGACGCAAGCACATCGTTTCCGCTCTGACTTTGCGCAAAAGACAAAGGCGCAAAGACGAGGCACAGTAGTGCGGAGAAGAACTTCATGCCGGAACCCGCATAGAACGAGGCTGTACCCCAGATTGTTTCCGACAGTACGTATCGAGACAACGCCGTACGAGAAGCCCTGCGCGAGAAAACAAAAGAGGAAGGAGAATTATGTTAAGCGACGGATTGCGGATCAAACAGGGTAAAACAAAAAGCCATATGAACCAGGATAAGACCAGGGGCCTATACACGGCAGGTACAGGTTTTCCAGAGGCGGCAATGGACGTCAAAATCCTAGCCTCCCGACATCAAAGCACCGTTAGTATGTTACAAGCACCACGTAGTGCAGCTGCCATCCTCGTCACGGAGTATCTTCCACAAGGCGCGCCACACAAAACGTGCTCGGCCGCAATCGGCAGTCTATGAGCTAGACGGTGCCCTGACTTTAGTTCGTTGCTGTGCCGCTGCTACGGCGAATTCCACGTGGATCTTGAGCCCAACGAGCGACAAACCCTCCGATGTCTTGCCTTTACCTTTGCTGGCTTCACACGTTGAACGTGTCGGAAGCTCACATACTTTGTGTATGAGGTATGACGTTTGTGAGTGAGGAAGATTGTGCCAAGATATGTGTGACGCGCTCAAGCGAGATTATCGGGGTCGGTAGCTGTATGAGCACCCATGTTCTCAGAGTACTGAATGTCGGCCTGTTAGGCATCACGAGGAGGTGAACATGATGCGAACCTGATCGGCGTTTGACGTGGCAATCATTCTGACCGTCTGCCAATTGCCACAAGGCTTGCCTAGTGTATGTAGTTCTAAGGCTTCGCTAGTGGAAAAGCCCTCGAACAGTTCCAACACCAGCAGCGTCGATCATCGGAGGTACATGAACCCGGTGAAGAACGGTATTCCACTGCTCCCAAGTAATGGCAATCGTCTTTGCGAAAACGTGGTTCGGCCCTGCATGTGAGTTTTAGAGTTTAGCTCTGCATGTAGATCTAGTCTAGCACGGTCTTTAATAAAGCTCGGAAACACTAGGCTAGTCAGTCACCCATGGTCGCTGTGATAAAACCGAATGTTCTTTGGACACGGCAGATGCAAGCGCCGTGGACAGAAAGATTGGCGAGTTTTGGCGAATCCTTCGTTCTGCAGCGATTCTAGGGGAATGTGGTATATGCTCAAGTGATCTGTACTAGCTGCAGCGACTTATAGATTCGTCGTTCGGCCATGATTCACGTGGTGGAGAGGATGACCGCAAGCCGCCCTACCGGTCTGCAATGTGGGGCCTTAGAGCTCCATCGTTTCTTGTTGACCATACTTCCTATTCGACCCCCTCTTCTGATCCACTCTTGTGAGATTCACGCGGAAAGCCGGTAGCTCTAGTGTTTCGAAATGACTGTCTTTTTGCTCATCCCAGAACACCGCTGTGTTCAAAGGTATGCCGGCGTAACTGGACATTTCCCAGTCCTCCACGCAGAAGTCGTCCCAAATCGAGCCCAGTCCTTCTGCGCGCTCCTCGAAGATCAATGCACGCCACTCCTCACCCTGCTGTTCTTCCTCGTTGCGATAGAGAAGCGTTGGGCTAAGCTGCGCACAACGGGGCGGAGTCGTCACGTCTTTCGTGATCGGTGCTTCGAAGACAACCGTCCCGTTGGAAACGAAGGTTGTGACAACAAGACCGCGGTAATCAGCTCTCAGTGTGGCTGTGGAGTTCACTTCTGGATCTGAAGCGCTGTAGGTGCCCGCATAGCGGTTACGCATTTGCTGTATGGCAAGCTTTTCTGCTGTTTGCACTATCTTTACTGTAACAATGTCCATGATCTTGGATAAGATTGCGTTGGGGCCCGCGACTAGAATAGTGATACCCAAGTCGTACTCCGGCACTGTTATGATGATGGAGGTATAGCCCGGCAACCCTCCACTCTTAGTGACAAAGCGTACAGTACGTTTCGACTGCTCGAGTATGCGGTCTGTTTGGTAAATTTCCCACGGCATGCCATAAAATGAGTTCAATCCGCGGGACGAAGAGACGGGATGCAGCCAATTTACTGCGTGGGTAATGGCATTGTAGTGGGTGAGGATATAGCGGAGGTACTTCGACAGGTCGCTCGAGGAACTGTAGATGCCGCCGGTAGGATTTTGGATGCCTTCGTCTACACCCCAGAATTGTGGACCAGCCGGAATGACGCCAGCAGAATCGGCAGGCTTGGAGAGAGTGCTGGTAGACATGTTCAAGGGCTTGAAGATGGCTTCATCGATGTAGGTCTCGTAGGTCTGGTTTGTCACCCGCGAGAGGACGAGACCAAGCAATTCGAACGCGACATTGGAATAAGACGATTCTTGGTTTGGCGCGAATAAAGGTGCGAACTTCTTGAGCTGTCGAAACATATCTAAGCACAATCGGATTAACACTCTTCTCGCTCGC